ACTACTACTACTACTCCTACTGCTACTGCTACTGCTACTGCTGCTGCTACTGCTACAGCTACAGCTACTGGTACTGCTACTGCTACTACTACTACTACTACTACTACTACTATTACTACTACTACTCCTACTGCTCCTGCTCCTACTCCTACTCCTGCTACTCCTCCTACTACTACTACTACTACTACTACTACTACTACTTTGCACCACCATCACCACGACAAGGACGACCACTGGCAACAGTCAACAAGGATGTCGATGGTGTTTGTAGTGATGACGAGGTTGTTATTTGCAGGTGATGAAGGTGACGATCATGAAACAGTGTTGATAAAGACCGCGTCGGTCTTTGTATGATTGTGTTGCGAGTTGTGATATATGAACCGACTCCGTGCATGTGTGGCCTTGACTAGCCTCGCTCCTCCTGGGACCGTCGCCCTGTGGTCTACACGGTAGCGAATCTGCATCTATGCTGCACTTAAGCTCAGGCCGATTTGTCACTTGCTTTAGTTTGGCTGCGAGAGAGAGAGAGAGAGAGAGAGCCCCGCCCGATCTTTTCCGCAAAACGTACAGAGCCGCCTTTTTACACTTAATTGGGCCAGCCACTTTTCAGTTTTGCCGCCACCCATAACAGGCCCAATGCTTTTCCCTGTTGCTTGTTATGTTCATTGTCTGGTTCCGTGAACTGGCCTTCTTGCCCCTAACCCTTGCGAAAGAAAGAGCCCCGCTCACCACAACCCCGGCGAAAGAAAGAAAGAGAGAGAGCAAAGCAAGGCGAAGAGGGAGAGGGAGAGAAGAGAGCGAGAGAGAGAGAGAGAGAGAGAATGCTTTCAATGCAGAGGTGTCTGTTGTAATTTCTGACTTGGTAATGTGCATGTCACTTATGTGGCCCCGCGATATTGAAACGAAGCAGTCGAGCTGAGGTATGTAATCCAATTCCTTCGCATCATGGCCGCCAATGTTGATGCGATATTCATTCTCGCTGCCTTGGCAGTGCCGATCGCTGTGATCTACGGAATGCTGGGCCCTGGGCCAGGGGGGAGCGCTACCCTCAGCACCAGCTTTACCTGGCATCCGATTCTGATGTCCTGTGCTTTTCCCTGCTTGATGGTGTTGGGCCGCTGGGTTTACGTCACTGACTCTCTTGGAGACAAGCACCAGCAACGATCTGCACATCGCGGGGTCATGATGTTAAGCACTTTGGTTGCCATCGGCGGATACATCGCCATATTCATGGCCCACGTGAAAACCCCGTCATTCTTCGGCTACAACTTCGCCAAGCACACTTGGGCAGTTCCGTCACGAATAGTCCACGACTTCTTGGGATATTCTGTTCTATTGCTGATGCTCTTTCAGGCAGCGGTAGGTGTGATGAAGTATTGGAACCTGCAGGCCGGGCAGAAGTCCTTCCCATTTCATGGAAGCCTCGGGAAGTTGATCATCCTCCTCGGATCGGGCAATATCCTCACTGCCTGCATCTTCTGGGGCTGGAGCATGGCCTTCAAAGTACTCTTGGCCGGCCTCGCCTTGGTTGCAGCCCTCTGTGGAGCCTTCTGGCCGGCCCCTGAAAGGCCTGACACTGCACCCCTGGCAGAATCCATGAAGCCCTGACGCCCTGATCGACCTGACCGACTTGAGCTTGAAGCGATGATCTGAAAGGTGCTCTTTGGTGCTCGCCGTCCCACACAGCCACCTGCAACTCCCCCCCCCCCCGGAAGTAAGTAGCGGCCTTGACCGAGGTGAGCTCTGCATTTTATCAGCTCAAGTCCAAAAAGGAATCATGGGACATGCCTGGTTCTGGCAGAGGTTTAGGCAAGCGGCTGATGCCCCGGATCGAGCCAGCTAATACAGTGTGTTCATGCTTGACCGTTGTTTGTACTTCTTGCCGGTCATTGGCATACTCTTTGTCTTGGGGGTGTTCTGGTTCTTGCGAGCAGCAATAGTACGGTTTTGAGTCTTGAGATTTCTCCCGTGCTGTGCCAGGATCCGCCTCAGGAAGCAGACATCGCGCAAAAGGAGGCACCTGCTTCGGTGCTTAGGGACAGCATAGAACGCCAGGAATAATTTTGATTACGTAAGACTTATACCATGGTTATAACAATAGGAATAGGACTCATGATACATCATTCGTCCTGTTCTTACTACTGTAATCATCGTAGGTAGTACCTCTTTGTTTGTGTCCGCGCTCAGGAAGGCCAGAGCTCGCCAGTTGCCTCCACAAAACTGGCCCTGGACTTTGGTGTCTCTGCTGCAAAGTGATGTACGGATGCATGGGATTAGGGTTTACGGTTTAGGGAGGGTTTAGGGTTTGAGGCTTTCTCCTCAAAGCTGTCGCAAGGAAGGGTGGCGGGGAAGGCTGTCAGGCTCGAAATTTAATCTGAGAGACCGGTAGACTAAGGTATCAAAGACGACGGCACAGCAATTCTCGGCATCAACAGCCCCTTGCGTGTTCCAACTCCCATGAAAGGCCTGGCCCTCGGAACATCTCAGCAAGCGAGCGTCACGTAGGGTTCAGGGTTTAGGGGTTCGTCCAGGGCTCCCTCGATGGTGTTTGGGGTGTGCGAAGTGTCAGGGCGAAGCTGAAGCCCGCCGGAGCCGGGAGCCTTTGCTGAGTGCATCACTGCAACGGCCAACGTATGCTGTTGCAGCGCGAAGCAACGTGCTCATGTATCTCATGTATCTCACGTCTCAGCCTCATTGAACGCAGAAATTTGAGAAATCTGCCACTGTGCCATGAAGTTATGTCGAAAGAGGCATGGTTATAGAGAAGCAGTGGATCGAGCCTGAGCCCAAAAACACTCTCTTCTTCAGGCACATGCCAATCCCGCATTGTCTCATGTACAGCAGGATGTGTTCACGCTCATAATTCGCAATTCGTGCTCGCGGCGCATGCTCAAGCTGGAGAAGAGCTTATCGCGCATATGTGGAAAATGTTCGGCAGATTGCGCTTGAAATCGGATGCACTGCTTCGTCCCGTGTTCCTGTGCCAGCTGAACTGTCTGGATCCCGAGAGAGACTGAAGCGGAACATAGAGATCTGGAAGAGCCCTACAGCAAAATGCAGCTCAGCAGTGGTCAGAAGCCTGCGCGACAGATCCTTCCAAGTTTAGCTTCGAAATCCCAACTCCTGGAAAGCGCATCGTTTTGATAAAGGTTCTCACCCCTCATACATAGCTGCTTCTGGGTCAATTCTAAGGAAGGGTTTGGTTTCCCGAACAAGTAGCCATGCGTTCAGCTGCGGGTCTTGCTTGAGCGGCAGCCTGCATCAATAAATCACTTCCACTTGAGGTTCGCACCCGACCCCACCCGAAATCTGTCATGTTGCCACGGAAGCTACTGGCCGCCACGACATGGATGCAGGATGATGCTGGAATCATGAGCGGCTCAACTCACTGCTGACCGTGGTTGTATCCCGGCAGCGCTGCTGGTGCGGACTCACGGTCTGCACAAAGACTCGCCCTCGGGATCCTTGAGGTTGTCTGCTGGAGCCTTCCAGCGGACGCAGCAGTGTTGCCCCGCCTGCTATCCAGGGCGCGTCGCGACGCGCCTTTTCTTCAAGCGACATCCGAATGAACTCTGCTGCCGAGCCTCCCCTCGCTCGTCGCATGAGCTAGTGTATGTAAGCTAGCGGCCTGGCATCTGGGCGAGATCGTTAATGGAAACGCTGGATGTCCGCGCAGAAGGTGCGTGAGAATCCCGCACCAGTGAGCTGCAGCCTTGGATTCGGGCATGGAGGACGTTTACGTCGCAAAAACAGCGTGTAGCAGCAGTGTCTCCTTCCTGCACAGGGACATTTACAGGGACCACCGATCACCAGTCGCTTGAAGGTCCGAGAACAAAATTAAGAAAAAACCACACCCGGGGCCATGTGCACAAGGTGTTTCGTATGGTCTCGCCATGTTTCTCCATTGTTGCTGATGTGATGAAACAAAGTGCAAAAAGAAACACCAGGTGACGGGACTGCAAATAGCGCAAAACCGGCACGAACACCTTCGGCATGCGGCCATTTCATATATTTCGTTACATGTCAGTCGCGGCACCCCCACGTTCTTGCGACTGCTTCCGCGGGCGCGGGCTCGCCAGCGGGCGGTGCGGTGCGGCCGCGAGACAGGCCCCGAACCGCTCGAAGGCCCTTGCCTCGTTCGTAGCGCCTGTTCGCTCATTAAGCTACCCACAGCGGGGCCCCGCGACCCCACTGACGACCAAATGGTGCCGTTGGGAGAGTTGCTGGCGGGCAGGTCGCGACCAGCCCCGAGCCTGCTGGCATAGCCGGGTTTCACCTCGCCGTGCCCTTGTGGACTTCATGGTTGGCGCGGATGGGAAAAGGTGCATGAAAAAACGACTGTGTGGAAATCACCCTCGTCACCGGTGAGGTAGAGCGAGGTGCTGGGGTCAAAGCCAACTTGGGCAAGACGCGGGTCGGGATGCGCCGCCCGGCGTCGACGTCTTGGGCCCGGACGTCTGGTGTGGCAATCTGCCCCCGGAACAGCGTGGCTTCGTCGCTCTCGGCGTGCCCATAGGTCACCCAGACTTCGTGCAAGCCCAAGCCGCTAACCGCCTTGATGCCGAGGCCGACTTATTCCGCAAACTCGGGCAGCTCCCCGATTTCCGCCTGGCTCTTGCTCGCCTTCTGCGCGGCGCCTCGCGCACAGCACCTGCTCCGAAACGTGCCCCCAGCCGACATCCTACCGTACGCTCGCGGTCACGACGATGGGCCTGCTCGGCGACCAAGGGCCCGGCGACGACTAGGCTGCTGCTCGCGAGGTCGCCTTTTTGCCTCCGAGCCTGGGAGATCTGGGAGGCCTCGGCGTCTTGGCTGCGGAGCGGGTAGCACCGGCAGCATAATGGGCAGCGTGGGCAGATGCCCGGTGTTGCGCCAACGTTACCCCGACGCAGCAGCCCGGCTATTGCAGAAGCTTGAAGGCGAACCTTCGTCGCCTTGCCCAGCTCACTGCGGAGGGCTGGACGAGCAGACCGGATTGGGCGTCTTGCGCTCGCGGCGCCGATGTGCCAGCCGCTGAGGGCGAACTCGGCCTAGGAAACCCAAGTTGGCAGCGACATGCCGTTCTCGCCTTTCATACTTCCTTTCGAGAGCCATGCTACTTCCGGCCTTGGCTCCTGCCGCTCGTGCCGTCTTCCACACTCAGTCCGGTCCGCCTGCGGGTATGTGGCTCGCAGCAATAATTCCTTCGAACGCCGCGTCCACCCTTTCACCCGACCTGATGCACGTCGCAATGAGGTGCCGCCTTAGGCTGCCCTTGCCCCTCACGGCATGGAACTGTGGCGCGGAAAGCAGACACGGCTGTGCGGTTGAGGTTGATGCACGGGGACCACCACCGCGCCCGCCCCCGCACAAGCCTGTTGCCACGGCGCGGATTCGTCATTGAAAGGGCATGGGTTCAGGTCGCTTGCGAGGCGGTCGGTCCGGAAGGTCGGGTCGTGCCGCAACAGTGGCTGTCGCGCACAACCGCGCCACAAGTGCACGCCGACGACCGTCGCCGCCTCGACTTCGTTGTCTACGGGGCAACTAGTAACGGCGAAGCTTCATGCTGCGACGCAACCCTCGTCTCCCCCCTTACTCGCGCTGGCCGCCCCGTCCCCGGGGCTGACGCGCGGGCGGGAACGGCGTTTGTCGCAGCGCGCCGACGCAAGGTCGCGCGCTACCCGGAGCAACGACTCGTAGTCCTCGTTGCAGAAGTGGGGCCGCTGGAGTGACGAGTGCCAGCAGTTCCTCCGCACCTTACTGCGGCTTCATGTCCAACGCGCCCCACCACCCTTGCGTGCCTCTGCCGCCCAGGGCTGGGCGCGCCGCTGGTGGTGTGCTGTCGGTTGCCCTGCAGCGAGCCGTTGCCAGCTTCGCGCTTATCTGGCGCTCCCGCTGGGTGACGTGTTGGACCTCGCGATGGCGAGCGCCCCGACCCGGCTGCCGCTTCGCTAGCGCCTTGTAGCGTGCCACAATGCAATACCCCAGATTTGGAAATGTATTTCACGGGGGTTTGTTGTTATCGGAGATCGGCTCGTACGTGTATGAGTTTCGGATGATTCGTGCACACACATGCTGGCATGCTGATTTGGGCTGCAGGCATTTTGCTTCGTGATGTGTCGTGCCTCTTTGTGTCCCTTTTCATCTCACACCCACAAAGGAGCCGACTTCTGAAACCGCCGGGGGAGAGTTCCTGAGACATTGCATGAAAGCAGGACAGGCAAGTCAGCTTGTCAACTTCCGAAGCTTGAAATCCAAACCCTCCGGCCAAGGCTCGTGCCCGCGAGTCGCCTGCGCGGCTCCGCCCGGCCGTGCAGCGTGCCTCCCTGCACCGATGGATGGGCATGCTGGCCGTGGCGGCACAACGCGCACTGGCTTACTCGCGGCTCGAGTTGCCCCTGGCGGTAGCGGACGAATGCGACGGCGTCGGCGCTTTAATTGTCCTTCGCCGCAACGCGCTCCTTCGCAGCAAGCCTCCTGTCGCCCCCACTCACCGGCACCGCGAATGTCGATGGAGAGCTACCCCCATTGAGCGACATGCGCCGACTCAGCCTCCCTGCCTCCTCTCGCTGTTCGGATCCCGCCCCCCACTGGGCTCCCGGAAAGGTCGCATCACCGAGCGTATACTTGGGGATGACAGCAACTTGCATGGAGAATGGTTTTTTTTGTGTTAATGGTGGAATCGAACGTGTGCATGGGGAACAGCTGTTTGATGCGATGTCATTGATGTGATTCTTGCTAAATCGATCGCCTAGACTTGGAAAGGCTGGGTTGGAGGTGGGGCGTAGAAACAGAGACACGCCTATAGGGCAATGGCTGGTTGGGGCGTGTGGTGATGGCCGGTGGGGGCTTGTGAAATCATGTGAAATCGAGCGCGTACATTGGGAATAGCTGGTTCTGCTGTGTTATGATTCTACCGACGCGTGTCTTGCGTGGGTTCCTCTTGAATCGGGCGTCTCTGTGGGGGGGTTGTGCTGTGATGCCGGATGTGTTTTCCTCGAGTGTGTGCTCGTGAAATTGAGCACCACCTCGGGAGTAGCTGGTTCTGCTGTGTTATGATTTTTGCGCCTGCGCGGCTACGCCCGGCCGTGCAGCGTGCATCCTTGCACTGTTGGACGGGCATGCTGGCTGT